AGACGAGGAGGAGACCTCAGTCTTATTCTCCTTCGTCCACCACTACTATCACAGAGGGGTCTTACCAGACACTCTCAGTGTGCTATACATCTCATCGCATTCTCATTTGTGTGATAGCGCCTCTAGCCTCACCAGTAAGTCTTGCTCTGCGACCAGCTACTAGGCCTCATCAGTGGGCACATCGTATCGTCACAGCTCGTCGCTGTTGGCTATTAGCCAGGAGGCCCTCAAGGGGACTCTATTTCTGGTTGTCTATCTTTGTCATCGGCGTGCCGTGACATTAGAATAAGACTGACCTTTTACGCCCCTACCAAGTGTCTAACACTGGTAGCCGCGCATTTTCGCCCAGAGATACTTCCACCCAGGGCAGGGCTTTTTCCACACCACTTCCCTCATACAATTCCTCCGCGTCTCTACCGCCTAAGCCGCTTCCTTCCTTCAAAAGGAACAGCGCTGCAGTGACTGGTAAAGCGCCCCAAGTACACAATGGTATCGTTCCGCCCAACGGACACTACCACCCGTACCAACGCGATCCTCGTCGCACGCACTGCCTAACTCAGGGAAATCTCGTCTGAGCGAAGCCCCCACAAGCCAGCTCACAAGGCATTACAGCTGAGCACCGCCAACAGGAGTGCAAGGTTAGCCTCTGGCTCGAAGGAATTCCAAGAGACGCACTTACCCCGTCTATTCCACTCCAACCTCCTCACCCCTACGCTACATTCCCCGCCATCGACGTCCTCAATTTCGCGCTCTCGAAGAGCTACCATCCTCGTGGAATTCACGAAAATCCTAAAGGCACTCTCCCCGAGAACATTGCACCGACTGTATACGCTACCATTCAGCGATACAAAGTCTTGCAGCAGCCACATATTGCGGCAAAGTTCACAGAGGAGCAGTTACAGTGTCGAGACAGAATTCTTCGACACCTATCAGTGATAAACGAGTGCATCGGAGCAGGGCACGATTTCACATTCGTTGATAGGCGCATCGCTATTAAGCTTTGCGTAGGACTAGGAAAGATTTCCTTCAAGGGAATCAACAAGGAGCAGGAGCGTGTGGGCAAAGAGATAGTGAAGTTTGAAAAGGAGTCGTGCTACTGGCCTTACTAGGACCAGTAATATTTTTGTATCCCAAGTTTCATGCCGAGATACGCAATCGGCTTTATATACGAGAACTACATCGTGGACTTTTATCACCCGGCGCAGGGACAACTCACAGTCATCTGCACCGCGTACTTCATCTATCAACCTCTCGTTGCCAACTGGCAACAAGTACTCTACCACTACACGGTACAAGTACATGCCTATACCACCTACTCGGCACCATTCCGTCTCATCCCTGATCTTGAGGAAGAGCGAGAATATTGGCAATATCGAGCTGAAACTCTACGAGAAGAGTTAGAAGAAGAAGGACTCATCGAGGAAAACCTCGAACCCTTCTAAGGTTGAGAATTGATCGATTAACACATTGTCCGTCACATCATTTCCATTATCCTCGACATCGATCCTCATGTCTCAATACAACCTTGGAGGCGTTTCTTTCCCCGGAGGACACACAATGAGTGAGCCTGCTGACCCCTGGAGGAGTCAGGCCACTACCACAT